CAGGGTCCTGGGATCGAGTCCCACATCGGGCTCCCTGCTCAGCAGGAAGCCTGCTTCTCCCTCTCCCACTCCCCCTGCTTGTGTTCCTGCTCTCTGTGTGTCGCTCTGTCAAATAAATAAATAAAATCTTTAAAAATAAGTAAGATAAAATAAAAATTATTATCTTTACTAAATTATTCTCAAATCCATTTTTTAAACATGTCTTCTATGATACGTGGACTATAGAGCAGCACTTCCACCACATCCCTAAGCTCCAAGGCAAATAATTTGTATGAAATTTGTATGAACTTAACTGGTTAACCAGCCTCTTTTTTCTTTTTTTAACAGAATGCCATTTTTACCTGAAGGAATGAATGACACAGAAACTTGGAATATTTAGACTAGAAGATTTGGCAGACAGTTTCTTGAAAATGAACATGAATCTATCCTTTCATGAAAATCAACTCACATATGACAGCTGGTAGTATTTGATGCCTTCATAAAATGTAAGCTCTCAAAAGACAATCAGAATTTTGGAAAACTTGTGATCCGCCAAGAAACTTGACAGCTTCTCACTACTGACAAACTCTTCTGTTGAGATCTGTGATAATATTAAAACAAATGTGACTTTTTAATAATTGTTTTCCATCTCATCAACACTGGAACACCTTTATAACTTAGTGAAAGAACACATTACTTTTAAAAAATCATGCATTAGTACAAGACCCATTCAGTGTACAAGATGAGTCTATGGATTTTAATGTAACTGAAAAGAAAATAGTCAATGATACTGTTTCAGGTGCCGCTTGACCAATAACCTTAGAGAAAGTACAACTTGTGTAGTTTAAATATAGTATCAAAGCTGAATATCCATAATAATCTGAGAAGGTTATGAAACGTACTATCCTCCCATATTTGTGCAAGGCTGTAAATATTTTTCATATACTTCACCCAAAACAATACAATAAATGCAGAAGCAAATCTGAACATCTAGTGGTTTCTAATGAGACAGGTAAGAAAAATACTGTAAATGTAAAATGTAACAAAATCCTCTCTTCTCACTACCTTGTTTATTTGGGGAAATAGTTATTTTTCATAGAAACAATATTGCTGTTTTCATGTCATGGGATATTAATATGATTCTAAATGAATTAATAATTAAAAATTTTTTTTCATTATTTTTTAAAAGATTTTATTTGAGAAAGTGAGAGAGTGAGCATGAGCAGGGGGGAGGGCAGAGGCAGAGGGAGAAGCAGGCTCCCAGCTGAGCAGGGAGTCCAATGCCAGACTCAATCCCAGGACCCTGGGATCATGACCTGAGTGGAAGGCAGATGCTTAACCGACTGAGCCACTCAGGCATCCCAATAATTTTATTTTTAAATTTTTTTAGAGACACATAGAGTGAGCGGGGAGGGGCAGGGGGAGGAGGAGAGAGAGAACCTTAAGCAGGCTCCACCCTCAGCACTGAGACAGAGGTGGGGCTTGATCTCACTACCTGAGATCACTACCTGAAATCAAGAGTTGCTGGCTTACCTGATTGAGCCACCCATGCACCCCAGTAAATTTTTAAACCAGTTTTTTTTCCCACTATGATAAATATAGCCCACATTCACAAAATTATCCTTGGAATACTCAGTAATTTTTGAGACTGTATAAATAACCCTTCTAACAAAATGTTTGAGAATCACTGACTCACACAGCTCCTGGGCCACGACTCAGGGAGACAGTGAGACAAAGAGCGCGCCGTGCAGTAGGTGAGGGGTCGGGGCAAAGTCCCAGGTCCCTGCGCCTGCCTCTCAGGGTCTCAGGCCCCAGGACGGTGTCTGGGGAACAGAAGCCCAGTGCCGGGGAGTCCCCATCTCCCCTTGTTCTCCGTCTCACAAACTCTTTCAGGTCCTCCTGCCTGGATACTCATGAGGCAGCCCCGTTTCGCATTCCCATTGGGGGCGGGGGTCTGGAGAAGCCAATCAGCGGCACCGCGGTTCCGGGTTCTAAAGTTCTCACCTGACCTGTGGGAATGCAGCTACACCTCAGACCCTGAGGGTCTGGGCTATGGGGTCCCGAACCCTCGTCCTGCTGCTGTCGGGGGCCCTGGCCGTGACCGAGACCTGGGCGGGTGAGTGCGGCGGCGGGAGGAAAGGGCCTCTGCGGGGCGGGAGCGAGGGGACGGCGGGGCGGGGACGCGGGACCCCCGGGGAAGGCGCCTCTCCGCCGCCCCCGGC